AACTAAAAAGAATATTATTTATTTAATTAAAATTTACAAAAATCAGAAAATATCCAAAAATGGACTTAACCGCATTGGCTTCTGAGCGATTAATGTGTCAGTATCTTAACATTAGAACTACCGAGCAATCAAATCGCCTATTATGCATTTTCTTGTACAAATTACAAAAAATACGTTGGTTAAGATTTCGATTAACTTACACTTTAGGATGCACATTGGTGAACCAATTTACCAACAAATTTCTTAGAAAGGCCCGTGTGTCCTTTCAAAAATTGCAAAAACAGAAAACTAAGATGGATAATTTTAACCCGCCTGGTAGTTCCAGTTCTAGCCCGGTAATGAAACTGAAAGTTAGCGTCGAAAAAAGGCGACGTTATTCGCCGTATCGAATATTTCAAATCTTTCGTGTTTAAGTGACGACAATATGGATCCGACAGAATTATAATCGATGACTGTAACGTGTATGTTATTCAGCGAGCACGTCTGGGGCCGAGAAGAAGAAGAAGACCGACGACAAACCTCCGAACATCGTGGACCACCTGACCAGCATGTTCGTGAAAGACGGAGAATCGGTGCTGTTGAGCTGTCGAATAATCGGCGCGAAGAAGTTCGACGTGGTATGGCTGCACAACAACAAAGAGATCAAACCGAGCAAAGACTTCCAATACAGCAACGAGGCTAATATCTACAAATTGAACATCGCTGAGATTTTCCCCGAGGATTCCGGCACCTATACCTGCGAGGCGTTCAACGACGCAGGGGAGAGCTTCTCGTCGTGCACATTAAACGTCCTTGGTATGCTTGCAACGCATCATCAAATTTACGAGATGGGGAATAATATCAATTTTCAATAATATCTGTTTCCCATTTTTTTTAATTGAGACAGTTTGTGGGTCCATGTCGTTCACCTTTTCTTATTCGAAACACGCGAATCATTGATAAAAAAGGTGACGCGCGAGCGTAGCTTTCGATCTCGTTGATTCAGTCTGTCTTTCAATTTCTCCTGTGTTTCATAATTGAGGTATATTCTAACTTAAACGTCGTCTTTCACGCAGTTCCAAACGAAGAACCGAAGAGCCCAGTCTTCACGACATTCCCGCAATCTGCAACGGTGAGCGAAGGCGAATCGGTTACGTTCACATGCAAGACTGAAACTGCGCCTTTGAAAGGTGAGTATAAGGAAGAGCATGATCCAAATCGAGTTCAAATTGAATCGATTCTTCTTTTCTAATAAATGAATTGCAAATTTTTATGCAAATTGTCAAGCAACAATAATATACAAAATTAAGTAAAATGTGAGTAAATTTGGTAAATTGTAAATACGAGTCTGTTCAACTCCATTGCTACGTTTCTGCAGACATAAAATTGAAAATTTGCATAAAATCCAAAATCCAGTAATTACAGGAAATAGAAGTGAAATTCACTGTTCTAATAAGTATTATTTTATCCGTGTGTTACATAGTAACGTGGTTGAAAGATGGAAAAGCGATCCCAGAATCTAGCAGCAGGTATCTCTTCAGTTCGGATGGCGACAAATCGTTCGAATTACGTATCAAATCGTGCACGGCCACCGACGTTGGTCAATACGTGGCTCGCGCCATCGGCAAGAAGGGCGAGACAAACGCGGCATTTGCCCTGAACGTTACCAGTGCTAGCGAACAATGATGAATCGTTGATTTCGACCCGTGCGAAGATCACAAAATACAACCAGGTTTGGGTGAGATCTAATTAATCTTAATTAACACGTCGACTGCCATCAGAATTTTGAGCATTTTGCAAATGGTGTAAGAAACGATTATTAATAATAAGGTATCACAGTACTCATATTACACGATTATTTACCTACCTGTGTTGCCAAATATTTTTATATAGTAATTGTTCTCAAGCAGTTCGCAAGTCAACGTGTTAATTAATCTTCATCGTATCGACAAACTCATTCGACTTTTTTTTATGTCCCTTGACACATATATTTAAGTATACATACATGCTTCTAATTCGTCTGTTTTCAGCTTCTACAACGTTAAACGAGAGAACGATGATTAGAGAAACCATATGTATAAACGGACTGTAAAAATTTGCGACTCGTGAGCAATCGCGACGATAGGTGGTATTTATAAGGTTCGTGTATAAAAGGGAAATTGGAGAACCATTGTATCCGTAAAAACTATTCTATATGTAAATTTTCATGGAACGCTGTATTTTCTTTTTGTGTGCTTATCATATTCGCAACAATGAAACACAATCGTGTCGTTGTATGGTGGAAATAATGAAAGAATCCAGAACATCGAGCAAGTACACGGATAGCACGCGCAAACTATACGCTAATACGAGCTTTGCTGCATACACGAATTAGCATACTTTAAGTACACAATGGTGCATAACGGCAGCAGCGGAATTAAACCGATAAATCGTCACGGTAGATCTCGGCGTGACAGCCAGCATCCTCGACATCCAGCAGAACATCACATGTCTTGTCGGGATTACCGTACGAAGCAATTGATACTGTCGAGATGTACGTTCTTATTCCATGTAATCGTACGCACTGTCGTGTTATACTTGTTTGAAGACTGCTTCCGTTACAAAATTTACGATAAATAAAATATGATTCAAATATAACAGTTCGCTCATCTTTCTTTCCCTATTGTTTTTTATCTTCTTCCAATAAACTTTAGAAGAAGTAAATTAGTGGCAAAGAAGACTTTACTGAATTGTATCAAACATTTTACTTTCTAGATAAATACAAAAATTATAATTACACAGTATCATACAAAGTATCGGGATCAATGATTTGAAAAGATCCTCCACCCCGGGGAATAGTAAAGTTTACAGAATCTCTCCTCGATTCTGTGTGCGAATGCAAATACTTATATTCCTCGTCGTGTGGATATTGCATAAGCATCACACCAATACCAGCTACCTTAGCATAACTTAATTGACAACCATAATTATATTTAGACTTATGGGTGCAATAGATAGGGTTGTTAGGTAGGGAATTCAAGTGCCGCCTTGAACAGTCTTTCTTCTCACAAACTGATTCCCTCATGACATCAATTCTCGACAAGGTTGTCTTGTCTCGATGTTTATCTGGTAAAAATTATAAATCTTAGTAGTAGTAAAAATGCGAATTCTTTATTCTCTTGTATTAAATCAGTACCACTTTGAAAAAAGTTTGTGTCAGGAGTTTGAAATAAAGTTGTATTAGGAGTGAAACACGCATCGATTACAATGGGAATATCACTCATTATTTTGATCCACCACTCTGCTCGCGGATCATACACATAAACGTCGGACGTTATTAAAAACAATTTTCCGTTCATAACGCAATGAGGGGGAACTTCTGTGAAACAACACGGTAATGTAGGACCATGACACCATGTACCTGAAACATCATGCAATTAAAGTGACTGCAAGCTGTTTAACTCATTTTATGAAATTACCATTCACCTTTATGAATATTAAGAGAATACATTGCTGTTGACTTTATTCTATTTTTTCCTACTCCGCCGACTATTAGTAACTGATTTCCTATAAACACAATAACCATGTGTCTTTTTGGCTGCGGCATTTTTGCATAATGAAACCATTTTTTAGATATTAAACAGTATCGCCAAATACTATTACTAATTTTTCCATTTCCTATACCCATTTCTCCTCCAGCTGTATATAAACTAAAACCTAAGAACATATTTTAAGCTCTATTACATAAAATACACTGGTACCTCGACTTACGAACCACTCCATATATGAACTTTCCGACATACAAACTTTTTTCATACTCTATTTTGACCTCCAAATACAAACTTAATTTCAAGAAACTTTTATAATTCCAAATTATAGTATAACAGGAAATTGGATTTCGAGACACAAACATTTTGAAAAGTTACCAGAATTTTGAACTGGAACAAATTAAGTTCGTAAGTCCAGGTACCATTGTACTAAGTTCTTCATAATGAAAAATTAACATTTATACCTCTACCAGTTGTTCCCATTCCACTGAGCCCTTTTTGCGGACCTTGTACGCTACTCACTTGCATACATTCAGAGAAAACATCACCATTCCAAAGGTATAAATATTCACCTGTATTAGCAGATTCAGGCAGTTTGTGCACTACCATAGTGCGTATAAACTTGGGTTTTCTCTCATCTTTTATATCTGGAATATCCGATATCTAAAACTACAACATTTTAAAATTCACCATAAGAACACAATATAATAGTAAGATTAATTACCATGTGATGCAGCATCCATTTATCTCTTACAAAATGCAGGTACTTGTTAGATGCTCTCACATTAACATTTTGTAACAGTTGAGTAATGTTATTTTTAGTTAATTTGAGAAGCAAAGATAAAGGAAGTTCTTCAAAACGGTCTAAACATATAGATATACAAATGCCTTGTAATACCTTTAAACCCAACTCTTGTGCTAATAACCATATATCAATTACTTTCTCTGGCTCCAACCAAAACAAAATTATAATATCTTCAATGTCGCTTATTAGTTCGTCAACTATAAACAATACGCTCAATTCTAATAAATTTAATAAGTCTTCGAAATTATCTTTTACAAACTTTGTCATAGAAGATTTTATTGAATGGCACTGAATATCTACGCGTTCCTGATCATCGGGAGTCCATTCTATAAAATTCTATAATCACAAAGAATTATTTTTATTAAAAACGATGTACTTTTATTTCACTAATTAAGGTTAGTAATACAACCTGTAAAGTAGACAAAGCAATATCATAATTTATAATATGCTGCTTGTTATGAGAATCAGCAAAATTATGAGAGAAAAGGGATGCAAAATAGCGGCTTTTATTCGCTAGTTTCTCTTTTGACACTTCGACACAGTTTTCGCCGAGAATCAACATTAAATTTTCCTCCATTATAAGTACTTTATTACGATTGAAGTTATTTTAGAGTAAGATTATAAAATGTCGTTTTTGACTTCTTCCGTTGTTTTCCGTAAATCTTTAATTATCTGCTGACACGATAGCAACTTACAAATTGTAAGAGGAACATTGCATTGTGTCACGCATGCGCAGAAAATCTAGTATAACAAAATTCTAATGTCCAAAGAAATATTGAACTGCAGTCTGGACAACTGTTTATGGTGTACTCATCAAGAATACAGTTGCATTGAGTCGTAATTTAAAGAGAGCGTTTGGCAAAGGCTAACCAGTAATTTTGAAATTTTTCGGAGA